TTTTTTTTTTTTTTTTTTTAAGAAATTGTAACAATGTCTTTAACTGCATTTTGCAGAATATTTACGGGATCTACGAGGTTGGATGGAAATGCTATTGGTAGGTTTTATCTCTTCCCCACCCACCCCTGTAAACTAAACCTTGGAAAAATATTGCATTAAAATCTGTGGTTGTTTAACAGTGGATTTTGTTCGCTGGCTTTGTGCTGTATCTATGGATGAGCTGCTGTCTGCTACCCACCCTCGAATGTTTAGTCTGCAGAAGATAGTGGAGATTTCTTACTACAACATGGGACGGATAAGGTTACAGTGGTCTAGGATCTGGGAAGTTATTGGCGATCATTTTAATAAGGTATCCCTGTTAATGATTCTACTGCATACTCCAGTTATTGATCCAAATTAATTTTATTTAGAGGTTTGTTGGAAAAGCACGTATTTGTCTGAACTGTACTGGTTTTATTGTCCTTCTGTGTAAGTACCTTAAACCAACAAAAATTGTAAAGCTGAAAAGGCCCATGAGAAGGCCTTTTACATAATAAATGTAAAAGCACAAGTATACATTTTAATTTATCATGACCTGGGTCTAGAACTGGCTGCCATTAGTTTTGTGTTAAAAGTTTTGTGGGTGTTTTATGAAGCTTGGGATAAGGTGATGTTTTCTGTTCAAGTGTAAATGGACTGCTTATCAGGTGAATGTTTGTTTGCATTTTTAATACAGCAGTTGAAGTCTTTGTAGACAGCTTGCTTATTTTTAGAAAGTTTTAAATTCCAGGTTAATTAATGTATAAAATAGCTCGAACTGGTTAGGGATTATTGAATTCCATTAACAGTGTGGTTTATGGAATTGGCTGCTGTGTGTTTTTGTTAATTTTCCAGCGCTGTTTAGTTCTCCATTATCAACTGCATAGGCGGCTCATGCTGAATCGGTAAGAATTCTGGTGCAAGCTTACCATGCATTTCTATTCTACCTTCTCAGGTTGGCTGCAATCCCAATGAAGATGTAGCTATTTTTGCAGTAGACTCATTAAGGCAATTGTCAATGAAGTTCTTGGAAAAAGGAGAACTTGCTAATTTCCGATTCCAGAAGGACTTCCTAAGACCATTTGAACATATCATGAAGAGAAATAGGTAATAACATGCAATTAACTGAATTGCCTGGGATTGCAAGCATCAACTTTTGCAATTAATGTTTCAAATGACTTTTGTAAAATCAATTGTTGGAAAATTATACTATTCTAATTGATTATGTAAAGTAGTTTAAAAATATATTATTTATTATCTTAATTTAGGTCTCCTACTATTCGAGACATGGTTGTACGGTGCATTGCACAGATGGTAAATTCGCAGGCTGCTAACATTCGTTCTGGCTGGAAGAACATTTTTTCAGTATTTCATCTGGCAGCCTCAGATCAGGATGAAAGTATAGTGGAACTGGCATTCCAGACTACAGGGCACATTGTCAGTGAGTATGAACGATATTCAGACGTCAGGGAAGTGCGTGTCACTCCAGAGCCTGAAAAGCTTTGTTTGTCTGTTGACTCCACAGTCTGCATAGCAAAGCCTGCTTCATGTCTTAAAACCAATCTACACTTTTCAACCAGTCCTCTGGGAAAATACTTACGAAAGTCATTCAAGAAGATGATAGTTATCTGTCTGTCTTTATGCCTTTTAAAAAAAAATGTTTGTCTCATTCTGTAATAAAACAAGCCAGACCTTGGATAATTCTACCTAGTGTGTAGATTTTCATTTAAGTGAAGAATGTTATGTTTTTTCTCCCCCAGGAAAAAAAGAAGAGTAGTCATTTTAGTATTATGTTGTTTGTCTGTCTTTTTCCATGTTTCCGAATTGTGCTTGTACATGGCCCTGTTTAAGAGAAAGTGCTGAGCTAGGTGGCACTATGATGATTTTAATTTTTTTTTTCCTCCCACTCTAATCTAGATCTCAGGCTTTAAGGACCATAAGGGATCTCTTCATTCTGTCTCAACCTCTGCAAGTTTCTAAAATTTTTTCAGCTTTGATGAAGCATTTTTTTATCCTGAAAAGTAACTATTTAAAAACGAGGCAACATGCTGCAGAGGGGAAAGTCCATTAATAGATGTAAATCCATGCTTCATGTAGCCCTCTTAAGCTCTGGTCACACAAACCAGTGTTAAACAGTAAACCTATTGCTCTGGTCTTGCTTAACTGTTAAATTTCCTTTCTTTAGTCTAGATGCTATCTTATTTTAAAGACTTATTTACTGTCAAAATGGGATGCCCTCTAGGTGATTTTTGTTGTTGTTGTTGTTAGACCATTCTTCTGGTGTTTTCCTTCAGTTTTTCTTACTACTCAGGCATTTGACAGCACCAATTGATGGACTGGTCTCTCATGGCTTCTGTTACAGTCAGTTCATATTAGAATTAATAGATTTCAAAGCGTGACACTTTTTTTTTTTCTTCTGTTCACACTTTTCTCTCAGCAATCGTGTTTGAAAAACACTTCCCAGCAACCATAGATTCTTTCCAGGATGCAGTAAAGTGCTTGTCTGAATTTGCCTGCAATGCAGCATTTCCAGATACCAGTATGGAAGCGATCCGCCTCATCCGCCACTGTGCGAAATACGTATCTGACAGACCTCAGGTATATTCTGCATTAGCTAAATTTTAAATGTTTTAATCAATAGTGCATTTGTAAAGAAAAAATACATGCGCTGAACTTATTGGCTTCCCTTCAAGTTTCATGGATTAATGAGAAATATACTTTATTCAGAAACAATGGGAGTATAAAATGCCACCGGCTTTGAAAGGATCAGCAATTTCTTTTTCTTCTTTCATTCCCCTTTGCCCACCCCTATGCACCCTGTTCAGCTGATGACTGGCATTCCTGAGAGCTGCTGGAAATCAGCATACCTCAGGATCTCTCTCTGCTGAGAAATGTTGTGAAGAATGGGTAACGGCATAAGCAAAAATGCTTGATATCCTTAAAATATTATGATACATCCTCACTCTCAGTGGTGTCTATGAAAATGACAGCAAGAGACTCACACTGAACTATAAGCAAAAACTGATGATCAAATTGGATAATCTTTTTATTTTTATAAGTTTAGACTTCATAATATACTAAGGAGTACTTTGAAAAATACTTTGCCTTCTCAGTATTATTTTGATTGCCAGCTCACCTGAAGTATCAGGATGTAATACTAGTACAGCAGAGGTTGTTATTTGCAGTCCAGATTGTGTTTTATTTTGAAGAATCTAACTCCTATGACTCTCTATAACCCTGTGTTTTCTTCTAAAGGCATTCAAGGAATACACAAGTGATGATATGAATGTAGCTCCTGAAGACAGAGTGTGGGTGCGAGGGTGGTTCCCAATTCTCTTCGAATTGTCCTGTATCATCAATAGATGCAAATTAGATGTAAGAACCAGGTAACAATCAGTATTTGTAATTCAGATTTTAAAAGGCTTATTTTACACTTCCAAGATAAAAGCAACTCTTCTACTAAATGTAACCATCATAAAATGATGTACATATTTAAATTTGGATGACATCACTGTGGAAACACTAAACACCTTTTAAATGGATGCTCGAATGCAGACATTTAGTCTGTGTTCTTTACATACAACATTCTTTTTTTCTGTTATGATCAATAATGAAGTTAAGTAGTTGTGATTGTGTTGTGTGTCTTGCCCATCATACTTACTTTGGGGATTTTAAAACTGGGTTTATACCAGATTCATTCGCGGATTGAAGATTGCAGAAACAGTTGAAAAATCAAAGCTGTACTCTGATCTCATGTGAAACTTGATTATTTTCCTTGAATATGGCTTTTCCCTTATAAAGTATGTTCAATTGCAGTTCAGATGCAAAATATAAAGAGGTTGTATACAAATAACTCTAAATACGCACATCTACATGTGAGCTGTGCATATGGACTCCCCTTATAGCTGGTAAAGGTTAATACTTGTTCCTTCCTGGAAATATATGTTTGTTTGTTCTTGTTATCCCTGGTAATGAGGTTGTTTTCCTACTTCAGTTTTAAATTACCACAGTTCTCTGACTGTTGCCTGTGACTATAAAGTGCTTTTTTTACAAGCTGATTTTCCACTTAATTTTTGTGTACTAGTGTGCCAGATCCAGGTATAATGTTTTCAACAGTATTTGAGTTTGTTATTGTTGCTGCAGCTGGACATGTTTGGTCTCACACACGTTGTCGTTCTGTAACTCTTAGTATATGTTTTTCTTTCTTCATTTCAGGGGCTTAACAGTAATGTTTGAAATAATGAAGACATACGGCCATACTTACGAAAAACACTGGTGGCAAGATTTGTTTCGAATTGTCTTCAGGATATTTGACAACATGAAACTGCCAGAACAGCAGACTGAGGTGAAAAAAGTGGGAAAATGTAGTTTACATGAGAACTATATTTACAGCAGAAAAGCTGTAATATGGATTTATCAAGTGATGTAAGGCAAACCTCAAAACTCACGTGGTTGACCTGTATGATTTTAGTAGCTTTATTTTGTTTTAATGGCATTCTGTTGGCAGGTATTGTCACTTTTCTTATTTTTTTAATGTGTGTGAAAGGCCTAGTAGTTTACATTACGAACAACAGAGGAATAGCATAAAATGAAATACATGTAGTGTTACAAGAACTGTAGCTCTTACACGTGATGTCTGGAATTTGAGACACACAACATGCTCAATGAAGTGAGGCTTGTAATCAGCAGTGAAGTCACAATTAGAAGAAATAAGTTCTACTAGTTCAAAAATTTTTTGGTACCTAAGGGGGGGAAAAAAAAAGAGAAGGGGAAAAAAAAGCCATAATCAACCCAAAACCAAACAGAAAATCCCCCCCAAACAGCAATGTGCTTTCACTCTTTTGACCAGCCATCTAGGTTTTGACCTGCCAAACCAGAACAAGGTACTGTTCTGACAAAGAATTGAACAGAAATGGACCTAAAGATATAAATTATGTGTAAATTATTAATATTAGTTTAACCAAAATTTTTGATTGTTTGGAAAGCCTTGTCTAGCTGTTTATGGAGGGGCATGCCTCACTTTCCAAGTTTTTATTCTCTGGAAAATACTTAAACACAGCTTTGATGTGGTGGTAAATCATTGAGATAGTATTAGACACTGAGACAGTTGTTTGTCTGTTTCTGTAGTTTTTTAAAACACGCTACTTAGCAAAGCAAAAGTTGGGCCTCCAAGTTTTGAGGGTTTTGAGATACAGAAACAAATTGCATTTAGCTAGTAAGCAATTCAAATTTAGTAAATACATGTATCCGTCTATATGTATCCTAAAGTGTCACCTTAAAAGTTGTAACTCTTCTTTTTTTTTCCACTCCTAGAAAGCAGAATGGATGACAACTACTTGTAACCATGCACTTTATGCAATATGTGATGTATTCACACAGTATTTAGAAGTACTCAGTGATGTTCTTTTGGATGATATATTTGCACAGCTGTACTGGTGTGTGCAGCAAGGTAGGACTGTACCAGATTATGTTAAAACAATGTTAACATTTTACTGTGTTGAATGTGAATAAACAAATACACTGTTTGTCTCTTACAGACAATGAACAACTGGCACGATCTGGTACAAACTGTTTGGAGAATGTTGTCATCCTAAATGGTGAAAAGTTTACCCTAGAAATCTGGGACAAAACTTGCACTTGCATGCTGGATATTTTCAAAACTACAATCCCTCATGCGTAAGACAACTGTTAATATTTGTATTTGCTAAAATAGTTCAACTAAATGACTTACTGATTTCAAACTCTCAGATATCTCATAGGTGGGGTGAACAAAAAGCTGTTTTGTGTGGACTAAAGAGAAACAGACTTTCTTTAAACATAATGATAAGTTAGGCACTAGGTATACTTTTATGCTATAAATGGTAAACTGTTAAAACCTAAAATACTGTATAGGAGATGAGCAGAAAAACCAACCACCCTCACAGTATAACTTGATTCAATTTGACAACGTCAGATTTTTGGAGAAGTACTGTCTGATTTTTATTGATTATTATCTTTTTTGTAATATAATAATGCTGTTGATAGGCAGACTTTGCTGTTTGGAATTACATGTGAAGCTTTCTCCGCTGTGGGGAGGCAGGGATGACAAACAGAAGATTTTTGGCTGAGGAGGAAGGGTGAGCTGTTTGAGGATTTTCTTCACTCAAGAGACGTTCTGCACCTGGAAGGTTTAAGTCTAGGAGAAGTAGTGTGGGAACTGTAACATTCTGTCTTTCCCTCGGGCTGTTCTTGCTGAAACAGATGAAGTTTCTATCAGGGAAGATAGCTGCAGGTTGTGTAAAACTTCAAAGCTTTCTTTCCCACAGACTTGGGGGAAGGGAGATAAGAAGAGAAAGTAAAAACGGTACAAGAGCAGCCTAGTGGGCATGTGCACATGCATCAGGCCTTCGATAGGTGAGGCAGGAGACCTGCTCCGTGTGTGCATTTCCCACTGGGCTGTGAATTCTCACAGTTCCTTGTGGCATTTCTGGTTTTGAATTAAAGTTTCCTCGGTGTTTGAGCTCTGGCTTAGTTCTCTGGTTACCTGCATGCATATCAAGTCTTACATCCACAAAATACTAAAATGCTTCAAGTCTTACAGATCTCTAAGTGGCTGATGGTTAACTTCCACCATATGTCTCTGTGAATCTTAATCTTTTTATGAAAATGATCTTGCATAATTAGTAACTGTCTTTCCCTTTGTGTTGTAACTTGATGTGAAGCTTTGTGGAACAAGGCTTCACCGTTCAGAGGATTATGTTACACATGCACATCAGAGGGCAGAGTAACAAAAAATCACGTCCAGCATTATGCCAAAGTTGAGGGGTTTTTCCCCCCTGTGCTACCAACACGGAGATGAAACACTGCTTGTTTTCAAATCTGATGTTATTATTTGTTCTGTGTCTGTCAGCTAGTTCATAGCGTTTTCTTCTGGGACCTAGTTCAGGCTTGAAGTGACTGAAGCAAAAGGAACCGCCTTCTATCAGTCTTTCCTTAATTTTAGGGTTGTGTATCAGATAGCACTCAAAGAGAGCTTCATTACTAGAAAAAAATCCTAAACAGATTCATTCATTAACATATAAAATCTGTCACTACCTCATCTACTTTTTTTATGTGAGTAGGTATGAATTAATTCCATCCACAAATAATACTGAAATAAAGCTGAAACACTCGGGAGCTAGCAAGATATTTTTTCTGCATTTTGGTAACTGCCAAAAATAAAATTTGAAACCAAATCTCTGGATATAAAAGTCCAGTTGAATTAGCCCTAAATTGCTATGTCCCATACTTGAAAAGATTTTGAAGTAAATACTCACTAGCAGAATATTTGCTTTGATTTCAGCACATGATCAAAACTTAGGTTTCTGGGTTGTTCTTATAGTTGGATATTAGAAACCTTTCTGCAGCAGCATTTTGGATATCTTAATATTTAGACACATTCAAAATATTCTTGTTGCCTTCAGTTATATCTGATTTGAAATATGTGCATTATTCCCTTTGATTATGGCACTTCTGCTTTTCAAATAGTTTTATTTTTCCTAGGAGAATATGCAACTCCTTCCATAGATTTCCAGTCTTCCCATCTCCTTTTTTTCATCTTTCTGTGCCTTTTTTTGAGAACTTCGTTATATTATTCCTTCTTTATTTCTTGGAGGTTCCCAGCTTTTGCAGGGTAAAGTAAATCTTACTTGTATTTTATATGAGACTAATACCTGGAGAATATGTAATTCATCTCCTTTTCCGTGGTGAAGGTAGACCAACGGTTGTTGGGTGACTAAAAACTGCTCAAAACACTCTTTTCACTTCAACCACATTTAAATAAAACTGAAGCTTTTTAGATGGGTAAGAAAAAATTATAATAACAATATGCAGGTATTCATAATTTTAATGGAGACTTTGTACTCATCTTTTTTTACTTCTGTTTCTGAGTCCTAGGAGGATACTTCCTTTTTATTCTCCTCTCTTTTTATGGGATCTAGTTCTTTTTCTGTGACTCCTGGTTTGGCTGATGTCCCATATTTGTATTTCCTAGCCCCTCTATTAGCCTTATTTTTGCAACAGATCTTTTCCTGCCCTCCCAGCCTTAATTTTTTATTATTTTTTTTTTAACGATGCAGTTTTAATACCCAGCTTTTTGTGCAGGCTGCCTCAGTACTTAGAGAAGAAGGCAAATGATGCTTTTACCTTTGTTTACCCATATGTGGAAGTAACACAATAGCTGATGTTGAATTGAAGAAGAGAAGTTGCACAGTGGTATATTTGAAAACTTTCTCGGCAAGTGCTTTAATTGCTAATTGTCTTGAAATAGATGCCAGGAATTTCTGGAGTGTAAAGTATCTTCTGGCAGAGGTTCTCATTACTGTGATCAGATAGGGTTACATATGTTCTTTATTATCATTCATATAAAACATCTTCCAAGTATTGTGTAGCTAACTTGCTCAATTTAAGAGCTGCAACATTGGCTGTGGGAGTTCTTAGTTGCAGTATCAGCCTCTGCTGGTTCTTGGCAAGTTACTTTCTTGCAAGGAGAGATGATCATATTATTTCCTTGTTTTGAAAATGTGGTAGAATATTTACTCAGCTACCAATTTCAGCAAGGATCACTCACTAGAAAACCACAAACTGTACTGCTGCCAAGCTTCTGCAGAACCGCTGAGGTGTTGATAGCTGAAGATACTAATACAGAATGACACAGAATGGCTTTAGTTGGAAGGGACTCTGGAGGTTGTCTGATCCAACCCCTGTGCTCAGGCATGGCCACCCAGAGCAGTTTTTCCAGGATCATATTCTGGCTTTTGAATATCTCCAAGAAGGGAAGCTCCACAGCCATTTTTGGCAACCTGTGCCAGTGCTTGGTCACCATCACAGTGAAAAAGTGTTCCCTGATATTTATAGGGAACCTTCTGAGTTTCAGTTTGTATCATTGCCTCTGGTCCTGGCACTGCAAATCACTGGAAAAAGCTTGGCTCTGTCTTCTTTGCTCTGTCCTTTCAGGTATTTATATATGTTGATGAGATGCCCCTCTTCTCCAGCCTGGACAGTCCCAGCTCTCTCAACCTTTCCTCATAGGAGACATACTCCAGTCCCTTCATCACCTTTGTGGCCTTTTTCCAGGCCCTCTCCAGTAGGTCCATGTGTCTCATATTGGGATCCCAGGACTGGACATGGTGCTGAGCAGAGCGGCAGGATCCCCTTCCTCTCCTCATGTAGCCCAGGATACCGTTTGCTTTCTTTGCAGCAAGGGCACACTGCTAACTCATGTCCAACTTGATGTCCACCAGGATCCCCAGGGCCTTCTCTGTTGAGCTGCTTTCCAGTTGGGCAGCCCCCAGCGTGTCCTGGTGCGTGGGGTTGTTCCTCCCCAGCTGAAGAACTTTGCATTTCACCCTTGTTGAACTGCACAAGGTTCCCATCAGCCCATTTCTCCAGCCTGTTCAGGTCCGTCTGGATGCATCATGACCCTCTGGTATATCAGCCACTCCTCTTACTTTTGTTTCTTCAGCAAACTTGCTAAGAGTCCACTCTTCCCCATCATCCAGATCATTCACTAAGATGTTGAACAGAATTGGACCCGGTGTTGCTCCCTGGGATGTACCACTGGACTCCAACTAGATTTTATGCCCCTCGTCACCATCTTCTAGGCTGCTAGGCTGTTCAGCCAGTTTTTCATCCACCTCACTGTTTGCTCATCCAACCTGTAGTTTGTTGGGTTATTTTGATAGTTTCTTTTATTTTTCTTTTTGTTCAAGTTCTGTTTCTAGATCTTGTTGATCAAAATTTTCTGAAGCTTAATGAGAGCATATCTTGGCTTGCTAGTGCTGAGACAGCCATCCTGAATGCCTTCTTGTCCTTCAGAAATTCAGGAGTTAGAATTGGTTCCTTGCACAGATTATGATGGTCTGGCCTCTACTGGCTCATAATGGCTCATTATTCCAAGACCTCAATTTGTGTCCTTGTAGCTTTCAAGAATCAATTCAGTTCTCTGTTCTACTTTATTTGTTGTCTCATTACATGCCTCAAGATTTTATATTTCCTTATCTCCAGTTTGTCTTTCTAGTTATCTGATCTTTAGTTGTCTGGAGATCAGTGATACATTAATTTAGGAACCTTAGCACAGTGAGGAAAGGCTCTCCTTTAGGATGTGCAGATGCAAATGTCCATCATGCGTTGCCTCACACAGACTGAAACTAAATAGTTTGAGATCTTAATGATGACAAATAACTTTAATCTTACTTTGTAGCAATAGATTTGATAGAAAGAGAGATAATGGGACCACTTAAGTTATTTAATCCAGTTTCCCTCAATTCTTGGTGAGCACAGACAGCCTCAATAAGTGACAATCAATGTAGAAATTTTTTAGTGCTTGAGGTGAAGATTTTCAAGACAGCAACGTGTATAGGAAATCAGCAGGGAACGATCAGTGTTGTCAGTGACTTGATACCATGTAACAGCAATGAATCCTCAGTGAAAATATAAACACAGTGCTGGAACATACCCTAAACAGAGGATGCAAAACATCTCCAAATATTCATGCAGATTTGTTCTGGGGTAGATTAATTCCTTATTTTGAGGTAAAGCTTTAAGCAGTGTGGGAGAACAGAGCCCACTAATGGCACTAGAACACTGCCTTAAACCAAATCCAATATTTCTAAGAAAAATTAATTCAGCTCTGTGTAAGCCAGTTGTCCACCCAAAATAGCTTGCAGAAACACTGAAGTTCAAAAACCACAGTACTTATATTTTTCAATATGTGTACTTAGAACTGAAATGAATTTATTAATTTATGGATGTATCTATATCATATTTTTTTTATGTTTAGCTTCCATTAATTAAATTAATGGAAACAAAACCCTCAACGTGTCGAAGTGGACTTTTTAGAGTGTTGGTTCTGATTTGTATTTCAAACTTAGAAAATTTGGTATTGGTTTTGTGTTTTAAAGGCTGCTGACTTGGAGACCTGTTGGAGGAGAGTTTGGCTCTGGCTCTCCCTCTGATGCAAAAGAAAAACTGGTAAGCTACTGAAATAAATATTTTAAGATTGCAAGAGCTGGGTACAATTGTGATGAAGAATAAGTGAAAAATATACTTGGTTTAAAGACGTTTTTCAATTTTGATTTACTTGAAAACTTTTTTTCCAGGTAGAGTTCTATTTAGTGCTTTAGAATAGCAAAGAATAAATTGATAAAGAAGTACATATTTGTTTGCAGTATATATCGCTTCAAGAAGTTGGCTTTAGGTAGTTACTTGTGTTTGTTTTAGTTAATGTTCTGTGTCTCATAGGTTTCTATAATACTGTATTTAGACTTTGAGTTGTTTCCTGTTTTGGGTCATGGTTTTTTTTCATTTTGATATATTGGCAAGATAAGAAAATGCTAAAGGAGGATAGAATGACAGATTGACTACTTTTTTTCCGTCAGATTTTCTCTGGTAATAAGAACTTAAACATCAGTGTTTAAAATAGGAGATCTGTATAACCATGAGGTTGCTTAGCACTGATTGAATAAACTGGGGTCTAATTTGGATTTACCTACAAGTTGACAGCCCTATTGCTGCTTTATTAGTGATGAGAATTAGCTTGTCTTTTGAAATTCCCACAAGATTGCTGCATAAAGTTCTTCATAGATTAATGAAGCATTTGATAACAGTTGTTCAAGGATAATGGTCCCAAATGAGATCTACCAAGAGAGACTGACTCCCTCCATTTATATTTATGGAGTGTTACCATAATTTACTTGAAAAAGAGTGTGAATGTTTGTGATGGCCAGTTCTCATTATATGGGTATTGTACATTCATGCTGTATTAATTATGTCTCATTTATAGTGGTTTGATGTGTAAAATATTTGATCTAAACATTGGCTACGGTTTTGATCCATTTATGTCAATAGTAACATGCATATATGGCAAGATATATTAAATATATCTTGCAAGATATATGCATATATGCATATATGGCAAGATATATTAAATGTCTTAGTCTTAAGTAAATTGAAGGATCTTTTCTCTTTGAAATATTTTAACGGGAATATTTTCAAAAATTTTTTTCGTATTCAGTGTAAAAAAACACTTTGCAACTTCAAAATTAACAGAACTTATAAATAGTATGAAAGGAGAAATATTTTGGATCTTTTTGGTAGGATAGATTTTTTGCAGGCTTTAGATATTTTAATCTCATTTTTCTTTAGGTAGTTCAAATATGATGGAGTGTTTTGCTATGTATAGACATGATACTTATTAAAATATATATTTATACTTAGTATAAGTATATAGTATAAGTATATTTCAGAGATGAAATCCTTGGGTTTTACTGGTATAAGAAGTTGATACATTCTTTATAGGAACTGTATGTGTAGTTTTAAGTCTTGCTAACAGCACAATCAAGGGTATTAATGTGTAGTCTTCAGTGGTGCTTACGGAACAAGTGCCAATAGAAATGCTGGGTTGTTGAGTGGGACATTATTCTATACATATATCTAAATCTATATATATAGATATCTCACAGTTGGAAGGGACCCACAGTGATCATCAAGTCTAACTCCTGGCCCTGCACAGGACCATCACCAAGAGTCACACCATGTGCATGAGAGTATCATCCAAATGCTTCTTCAACTCTGTCAGGCTTGGTGCTTGGACTTGTCATTTAAGAGCTGTGCATTCACATTTTCACCAGTTAAAAAGGAAAACAGTTTCTTCCACAAGGTCTTGAGCGTTTTTTTCACTGCAGAACAGGGTAACCTTGCAGTAAAGCTCATACACTTCACCTGGTAAAAGCCAAACTGTTGGCTGACACACTAAATGGTTGAGTGGAATACGAAAACCTATCTGCAGAATACATTAACTTTTTTGTGTAATTAAGTATTTGTTGCTTGTTAAATTTTCAACTCTTTCTTATTATGTCATCTTTTTCATGGGTCTTTCATGAATGATAATATCAAATATGACTAAAGTGAATAAAAGTGCAGTATTGAAACAACAAATGTCTTAAGCTGTGAAGAGCAGAGCACTATTGACAATTGCTTGCTGAAATTTTTTGTAAGTTAATTTCTTTTTCTTGGCTTTGCTTTCAGGATACAGTCTCACAGAAGTCAGTAGATATTCATGATTCCATTCAGCCCAGACCTTCAGATGGACGCCCATATCAACCCAGCATGGGGGCCACAGTAGGTGAAGAAACAAGTAAAACCAGACCAACACCAAGTGCGTGCTTTGTAATTACTTGGCGTTTTATCTCTCTTCAGAGTAGTATTTAGCAGATGTTTGATATCTGTAGTTGTAGCCCCAGCTATAACTTTAGAAACATGGCGAGAAGAAAACATTTGTTTGCGTTTTTGTCTTCATGTAGTGTTTCAAAAATCTGTTGGATTGCTTTGGGCCCACACTTTTGACGTGTGTTTTAAAAATCAAGAGTTCAACTGCTAACTTGCTGGCTTTTTACCCAAAGCAAAATATTAAAAGCAGTGTTTTCCTTACAATGCTATGTAAATGAGTAATAATTTTTTTTTGGCTTAGGAGCAAAGATCTTTCAGTGCAAAATGCAACAGAAGCTGTAGCTGAAAATACTGCTGTAGAATGTAGCAGTAAAATCCTATCTATGATTTGAAGAGAATATATGAAACCCTTGAGATACTTGTGCAAAGTTATGTGTTAGTGCTTAAATGCTCATGACTGTGGTGGTGTTAGTACTTCCCACAAGTGCAGACAAACCACAACACCAGTACTGTCCGGAGCCTCCTGCCTGTGACAGCCTCAGGTTCTTGCTATTGCACTGATATTAAGATCCAAGTCAATCATTTTGGTGATTTTTAGGTAACATTGAATATTTGTCCAGTACATCACAGATGACTTCAGGAAATAGTTTTTTAAGATGAGCCAGTTGTTAATGTGATCGTAAGTCTTGGTTTTAGTAATTCGAGACTGGTGGATTCCAGGTTTGTTTTATGAATGTGCTTGAAGTTAAACTGTTCTTCAACTGACCCTCAAAATAGCTCAAAAAAAGAAAATAGTATTGCAGTTCCCTAGTTAACAAGTAGTTTTCTCTTTCTTTCAAGAATTCCCAGAACAGAAGTTATTTGCTGCTCTTTTGATCAAGTGTGTTGTACAGCTGGAACTCATTCAAACAATCGACAACATTGTGTTCTTCCCAGCAACTAGCAAAAAAGAGGATGCAGAGAATCTAGCAGCAGCACAGGTAAGTAGAACTGATAGGTATCTCTCTTCTTTACAGCTTTTCCTCTAGTGGATAAAGTTTCATAAAGTCCTATAACATCTGCTAATTTACAGTTTTTAGATGCATTTGAGAACTTCCATCGGACTGTGGAGATCTTCTTCAACTTGCATTAAATTGCTTTTGCTGTGCCAGGGCAGCAGGGTAGGATTGATTTATTACAGGAACTTGCTTAACAAAGCTGTGAATTTTTACTTGAAATCCTTGGGTTTTGTCTTTTTTTAAATAGAGAGATGCTGTAGACTTTGATGTCCACGTGGATACACAAGATCAAGGGATGTATCGTTTTCTCACATCTCAGCAGCTTTTCAAACTTCTGGATTGTCTGCTGGAATCTCACAGATTTGCTAAAGCATTTAATTCAAACAATGAGCAGAGAACTGCTCTCTGGAAAGCAGGTGAGTCAGTCATCTTGGGGAAATACTTGGTGACAGGGTGCTGCTGTGCTCTGAAGGTCAAAACTCCTTAGATGCTGAATGTAAAAACTGATTATCAGGCTTTAGCTTTATGACCCTGGGGTTCTTAAGGGGAGGAGAGCTCATCTGTGCAGGTGCAAATATCTTCCTGGTTTCCTAAAATTTAAGGTTTCACTGAGTTACAGCTGCCAATGTGAGTCACATGCTTGGAAGCTGCAGGCATAAACACAGGTTTCACAGCTAATTGGAAGCTTATGTAAAAATGGGTGCCAAACACAATTGTGGCATATATAAGTAGGCTCATTTGTAGCAGTGCTCCACTGTACTTAATGTCATGAGAAATTAATTACCCAGAGTCATTCTTCCGACTGTCTGCGTGCCGAAAATGCTTAGAAGAAGTGGGGGACTGTTAGGGAGAACGTCAGTTGTGCCAAAAATCTAAATGGATGCTTGGAATTTCTCTAGGTTTCAAAGGCAAATCAAAGCCCAATCTCCTGAAGCAGGAGACGAGCAGCCTGGCCTGTGGGTTGCGCATCCTGTTCCGTATGTACATGGACGAAAGCCGGACCAGTGCGTGGGAGGAAGTCCAGCAAAGACTACTAAAGTAAGGTCCATGTAGCTGGTCCGTGTAGGTCCATCCTGTTGATGTTGTTTCTGATGTTAAAGGAGTTTTTTTTATTTAAAAGGATACACCTTCTCTGTTTGAGGTAAATTTCCTAGAGCTAATGTGTGCTGTGGTGGTCATAGCTAACACTAAAGAGTTTTGTGTGCTGTGGAGGGTGCTGTGCCTCCAGCTACTGATGCTGTCTGTGCTTTTTGCTCTCATTACATATATTGCAGGAGAGAACAAAGGTTTTGTCACCTTTTTTTGTAATGATGTGGGTAGGTGGGAGCTTGCTACAGCTTCTCTTTAAAAAGGAAGGCAACTGTCACTTAAACTTTTTTTTCTTTCAGTAACCTCAGGTATTTTACGGAATTGACCCTGTTCTCATCTGCAGAAATACACACTGGGATTCAGCAGCTTTGTGTTACACACAGAGAGAGGCTTCTGGCTTTTTGATTATTCATCACTGTGAATACTAAGATTCACCTGAATGTTTTTTATTTACAGAGTTTTTCAAGCAAGTGTTGGAATAAGAGAGGGTTTAAAACTATGACAGTAACACTTAAGGCTAAGACTTTAAGGTTCACAGACCAGGAAGCAGAACTAAAAACTACCTGGTTACATGAGCATGAGATATGTTCTTGAAGTCTACATAGCGTTTGTCATGTGCAATTTTAATACCTCTCAGAGAACACTTGATGCACTTCAAATACATGCACAAACAGCATAATAATGTTTTGTCAGCTTATTTTTTGCTGAAGTACTAGGACTTTGGGTTTAAGTTGAGCAAAATCACTGCCTTCTCTCACTAATCAGGCTTAGAGTGACTTTCATAAAACGATGCTGTTCTGCACCAGGGCTCTACTGCCATGTGTTGCAAAGCCAAAGCTCCTTCTGTGCAGTAGAGCTTAGAATGAAATACGAGTTACTAATTTTTGTTTGTGTTCTCTCTAGTGTCTGCAGTGAGGCTCTTAGTTATTTCCTGACTCTGACATCAGAAAGTCATCGGGAAGCCTGGACTAATCTTTTACTCTTATTTTTAACTAAAGTCCTGAAGATAAGTGATGAAAGGGTAAGTAACTGTTTGTAATGGTGTTTCAGATAACATTTACAGGTAAGAAGTAGTTCTAGGCCAGCTCTTCACACAGTTACAGACTTGACTTTAAAAGCTCCTGCTGCTCTGTAGACACTCCTTTGTTGAGGGAATGTACATTCAAACTGCATTTGACAGATGCTGACAGTAATAATTCAGTGTGAAGGTGCAGTGAGTGATAAAATAAAATGTGTCTGAGAGAAGTTGAAAGATGCTGGAATCCTTTAGAACTGCGTGTTAAGTTGCTTTTACCCCTCTCCTGCTGAAGAATAGGATTAGTGATGATATTTTATTCAAAGAATTAACTCCTGTTTTCTGCCTCCAGTGCTACATGTACATCACCTTGACCTTCTCCAAAGCAATTCTGCAGTAAATAAATCCATATTTGGATCTCTCTCTGTTTCTAACAAAATTTGGCTGAAATACTTAAGTGAAAGGGACCAACTACAATAAAAAACTGATAATAGAAAAATATTTCCTTGTGGGGAATAAGCATTAGTAAGGAGCTGCGTGTAGCTAGTGAGCATCTGTCAGAGTACGTCATAGCTGTCATTGCCGCCTTCTAGCACTGCTGACTTGGGTTATAAAGATGTTTCTGCTTGTCGCTTTGTGGGTTTCTCACCATGATTTGGGGAAGTATTTAGAATTCATATCCTGCAATGTGCTTTCTGAGGTGTATTGATGTATAATAGAGTAATTTCTTCTGTTTGTTTTCTCTGCAGTTCAAAGCCCATGCATCGTTCTACTATCCTCTGTTGTGTGAAATCATGCAGTTTGACCTTATTCCCGAGCTTCGAGCTGTTTTACGGAGGTTTTTCCTGCGGATTGGTGTGGTTTTCCAAATATCCCAACCACCAGAACAAGAGTCTGGAATAAGCAAGCAGTAGCAGATAGTGACACTGTTTAAAAGTTTATATTCCTCAGCTAAATAAAAGGACCAGGTAGCTGAGCCATTCTGTCTGGATATCCATAAAAATGATTTCTTTGTATGGCAACATGTATCCAAGGGTTAACGGTACAGACGCTTACAACTGTAATTAAGGCTTGCAACACTCCAGTCCCTTTATTTCCTGATGGATTATCTCTACCGGTTTCTCTTTCCTGGCTCGTGCTGAGCACAAAGCCAGTTTTTAGCACAGTCCCCTTGTCAGCATGGGCTGCAGTATCCTTTACTGTCCTAGACAACAGTATAGCAACAGATGTTTATGGCGGGTGTGAAAGTAAAGTGTACCCAAAGAAACATATATATGTAAAGGTTTGAGCTTCTGCGAGAAGTACAACTCAGGAGAGCTGTATTTTGAAGGATAAAATGTTTATAGTGAAAAGAAAATGGAGATTATTGTTCATGGTAAAAGATATTTAGCAACTATGTCTGATATTCTTATTCTAAGATTTTTGCACACTCAGGCTGTCTGAGACATTGGTAATCATCCTTCTGTGAAAATGTACAGAGATGCAGGTCTGTAATATAAACTCTTTAACACTATACAGTTCTTCCCGAATTGTTTTATTTCTGTAATATTGATTTGCTGAAAGCCCATAACTCTTACTCGTTTACCAAATGCACTAGAAGTTTGGGTTTGGTTTGGGGGTTTGTTTTTTTGGTTGGTTTTTTTTGGGGGTTGTGATTTTTCTTCCTCTTTTTTTGCTGTTTTGTTTTGCTTTGTTTCATTGTAGCCCAGAAGTTAGTGTTGCCGACTTTTGTCAAGAACAGCGGTAGAAATATCACGACTGACATAACTACCTGTAATATACTTGTTTTAGGGCTTTTAAATATAACGAGCCATTGAAATGATGATCCTTCAAGGACTGGAACTTGAATCACTGCAAACAAGTCTAGGTTGTGTCTGCTGTCAGATGTTTTTTGTTTGATGTAGATTTCACTCTTATGTACAGAATTTAATGTTGAATATATTCAAGTAACAAATCTGGCATGGTTTGGGGATGGTTAAATTTATTGGAAATGTATTCATACTGTGAATTGTGCTCTGATGGTTAACAGACGAGATTGTCAAGCATTCTGTATTACAATGGATGTAGAAATTTTTTTCAGATGGACAAAATGTATATGGTACAGATATGTAAAGTTTTCTATGTAAAAAAAAATTCTGTACAACTTTCTGTACAATATTTGGTTCTCATCTGGCATATTCTAATCAGGTTATAGGTCAATAAAGTTTTTGAACTCTTTCATCAGTGCAATCAAAACCAGTCTAATCCACAGTTTTAGTTTGCTTTGCCTCTCATGCCTCTGTTTCAAAGGGGCAAACCATGACCTCCTGGAGGCAGAAAGGTGCGTGCCCTTTAGTTTACTATGATGTGTTTTCTCACTGTTAAGAGACAAATACTGGGTAAAAAGAATGGTAAATTAGAAAAAAAAAAAAGGGCAGGGAGGAGGAGGAGAATAAAAGTGTCAAATGAATCCTCTAGTGCTGCACAGATAGAAACTCAAATCCTGGGCATTGTTTTCTGGGGATTAAAATATAAACACCAAACTGACAAAGGAGAAAGGGTGGTTGGGAGGCAAAGGCTGGGTGTTCTGCTGCCTGCTGACTTGGAACACATCAGCCAGCTCAGAGCTTTGTCAGCATCTCTGATTTGGTGAGTAAAAGTGGAATTGGATTGTTCTCCTGTGTGTTCCTGCAAAGTGCCTGGCAAGCACTGGAGAGCAGTCTGAAGACTGAGGAGGTGTGTGAGGGAGCCTCCCCTCTCTTGCAGAGGAATGACTCTCCGGTTGCCCCTCACTGCATGTTCCAAAAACGTAAGCAGTTTGATAAAAAAGCTCTAGAAAACCCAGAGATGGGAATTAACTTCCATGACCTTTGATTTGCTAAATTGCATTTACCGATGTCAGAAGGGGGGATTTGAGGCTATTTTAATTAATTGTAATTGTACAGCCTTCCCTCTTGGGCTCTATTTTACTTTTTCAGTTTGTTGTGCAGTGTTTAAACCTTAAACCACTGTGCAGGTACATTTATTTTGCAGGTAAGGCTGTCATGATAAAAAGTTTAAAAAATTTAGGAAGGCAGAAGGGCCTTTGACAGCTGAGCTGTGGAGATGCAGAGAAAGCTGATGGACCCAGAGTATCCTGAGTAGCAGCCCGGGTGCCCAAGAGGGCTGTGAGAAAGAGTGTAATTCATGGTGCTAAAAGCTGTTGAACAGTGAGGTTAAAGTAAGTTCACTGGTTTTAGGCCACAGGAGCAGTGAAGGAAACAACGAGGGGCTGGGCTGTGTCCTGGCTTGAACTGGAGGAAAGGAATGCTGGCCTGTGGTGGTCTGTGGCATTTACAAAACTTCCCGCAGTGAAATGAGGTGGTTTCATAGCGTAACATTGACTTTATGCGTCTGTTGGGGATAAAACTTCAATTAAATTTAAGGGAATAAGGAATAATTAAACTATGTAAGCACCTAAATGAGGAAGAAGACAAGTTCTGTATGTAACCTGCAGTTAGTACAGTTTATGTATCACAAAGTTCAAGTGGTGAAGCAACTGGAAAGAGCCATCAGGCATCAAAACCAATGGCAAGGCTGCCGGGTGACCAAGAGAAGTATAAAATGCACAAGGTGGAATTCAGCACGAGAGGTGCTGGGGTGGGAGGTAAGTTATTATAGAACATTTTCACCTCAGCTGCTTGAAATTCTTTTGTGCTTCCTGCCTCTAGGAAGTTCAGAACGCAGCAGCCGTGCAACCTGTCCTGTGCTCCAGCGCAGATCTCGGATTACAGTAAAGCCCCTGTGTGAGTGACCATTTCTGTCACACCCACACCGCTGAACATCGTGAGCCTTCTCACTGCTGAGCCAGAGATTCGGGGTAAGAATTAGCCAGATCTGATAAATCCTCTCTGGGATGCTAAACCCATGAAGAAGCGAAGCACAACACAAGGTTGCAGGATGTCTCTGTCAGCAAGAGCTGCCTGCTGTCATCATGGAACTGCTGTGGCCCTCAAGCGGGTTTACAAAAGCTTTAAAGTGGCATTTTAGTAAAAATAAAGATAGTTTTACAAGTGTGCTGTTTTCATCAGTGGTTTTCTCCCCCTACACTGGTTAAGCTGGGGCACCTGGGTGGGAATTTCCTAACCAAGAGGAAAGTTGCAGCCTTACCATTATTTCACCTTATTGTTTCAGTTCGCTGAACTCCTAAAATCTTACTTCCATCTACGTGTCCTTGTTAAAGCTCTGTGCTTTTAATCAACACATCTTCCATGTGTTTTCCTGTTTCTTTCAAGACAGCCTTAACATTCTAGTTTGTTCGTAAGTAAATGTAAGAGGAACCTAATGATAAATTAAGAAAATTGAAGTCTGCTTTCACATTTTTTTTGTAACAAAAATAATTTTAGTAACAAAATACTTTATTTTAACTCTTCTTTCAATCAGAAACATAAATATTTGCAACAATTTCTGTATTTTCAGCACGTAACAAGTTAGGGAACATACGACACATTGCTAATATTATTTTTCATTGAAATGTTCGCTGCTGTTCCATGCACAATGTATGAAAAGCAAGGGTCCTTCTCCAAGTTACTCACACTTTTGGTAAAAACCTAATTCCCCTCTGCTCTTGGATTACTCTAGCTCCAGACAGTTTTGGAGTTTGACTATAAAGCTAAAAAATAACTTTGATTTCATACCAAATTCACACACACCCCACACTGTATTTGTGTTTCAGCTCTGAGGCCGAAACCAAATTGTATAAAAAGTGCAAAAGCTGCCAAGCTATTCCTCCACTTCCCACGGCATGGAATAGAAAACATCCCTGTGCTACATCTCCATTACACTGCAGTGTCTGAATCTTTATTATTGCTATTTTAAATTACACACACACACACAACTCCACACTATGTACACGGAAGAGAACTCTCCCTCCAGGAGACCCTGGAAAGTGCGGTAGTGCTGGACGGTGCTGGTTCCCACAGGCCGAGTCAGCCGTGCGCGGTGGAGAGGCCCTGCCAACCCAGCGGGAGCGTCTTCTCCGGAGACAGCTTGGCGGGGTTTGCCTGCTCAGCCATCAATCTCCGGAGCGTGTCGGAAGTTCCTGGTCGCAGCCAGGGCTCTGTCGCGACCGTGTCGACAGAACTGGGGCGTCTGCCCACGCGGGTTGGAGGGCGCTTCAAAAGGTCATCCATGTCTCCTAAGGAAATGTCATCACCTGGGAAAGGAGGAGAGCAACACACGTGATAAAGGGGACAGAAGGTTATCACATCTTAGCACAACATTTGACAGGGTTGCTCGTCTGCAAAGAATGCATAAATAATGGTTGTAAATCACAGTTGTTTCTACTTGACACACATTTGTTGATGTTCTGGGGAACTGAGCCCCAACAGCTCCACACCCCCTCCACCAGGTCAACAAGGGCAAAGGCAAAGGTGGATGGACTCAGTACATGGTTCTGGCTTTCCCAAAAGCTCCTGTTATAGGGAAAAGTCAAATCTGTCAGCGCATATAAATGCATTTAAATGCATTTAAAAATAAGGCCATTAAATTAGTGGCATGGCCTAACACTCTTGTATTGACAGTCTCTTACTCGAGAGAGAACTCAGGAAGAATTACTTCATAACTGATTAACAGCGTAAATGCAAGTGAGTCTGTATCACAGCCCAGCACAGCTTATAACCTCAATGCAATGTCACTCTGAAACTGGGTAAGTTGAGATCTAGCTACAAAAACAAACCCCACCAAACAAAAAACTGAATTGCCTTGTCTTTGAATTTGGAGTCTGAACTCTACTCGTTTCCATTTTGTTAGCAATCACACCTAAAACCTTAAACAAATCGTTCCTAGTGTGGATTATCAAACAACATAAATTTTTACTATGTATGAAGGGATATAAATGTATAAATTTCCCTGTGCTGTTCATTTTTGGGTTTCATAACATTTATGAATATAAGCCACGAAATTACACAATCCCCAGATACACACCTACAACAAGTGAAAATTGCAATGTTTTCCCCTTTAAAGCTGAGTCATGTAAATGAAGAGGTTCTGGTTTGTTGGTGTGTGCTTAAGGTGGGCAGAAAAATATTTAAAGACTCTAGGAAAAAAAAAAACCACATCCTAATTCAAGCAAAACTTAACAGAATTGTGTATTCTTTAGTGATCAAATAATTCCCTTTAGCAATAAGTGTCATTTAATTAAGTATTTGGATGATTTTTCCGACTTCAGGGGGTTTATTTTAGAAAAAAATTATGACTTTTTAAAATTTGATTTTAAACCAAAATTTCTCTGAATCTTCTCATTAAAACTTGAAAGTTGATGGTTTAAGCACAGGCATGAGAACTCAGGTCCTGCAGAAGGATCAGCCAGGTGTGAAGGGAAGGACAGAAACTGCATGACCCCACATACAGTGGGAGCAAAGGCTCAGTTTTTCTCTTCATGCCCAAGGTGGGATTTCAGATTCCAAAACAAAATGCCAATTACTTTCTGTTCAAAAAGAACTTGGCAGCAAATAGTTAGTTCTGTCATATCATACAGACAACTGATCTGATCATCCTCCAAGCCTTCCTAGTCTGGTTAAAACAAAACTTGTCTGTAACATTAGAAGTGTGCCTAAAGCTGGCAGAGTAAACCTCTTTATGTCTCCTAA